GAAAACACTCTGAAGTGACAAGCTCTAAAAAATACATTGGATTTCCAAAAAATTTTATTTATTTTCTGTTAAGGTAAAAATACTAATTTGAGAGATCTTATCGTAAAACTTGTTTAGAGAAATGTATTTTCACCATCATAAAAATCTAATTAATTTTTAAAGTATATTGTTGGACTGCTGCACTCCACCAAAGAAAAACCAGAATTTGAACCCTGATATCATGTTGTACCCCACCAAGGAAAACTGGAATTTGAATTATATTTATCATTACGGTGCATACGTGTAATTTGTATATTTGACTAGACTAAGTGTGCCATTTGCAAAAAGGTGTGACTCTTGATATTCGTGAGGAAAGTTTCATGTCTATTGATCATATTTTTCAATCAGCAACACCTAAATCTATTTGGAACCTAGAATCGGAAAATCGATCTTCTAAGGTCACGTTTTACAAACCGCAATATGTACGTACGTATCCATCATAGGACGACTTTTATATGATTGGTTGTTTAAATCGATTTAATTTTACAGTTTAACGTACTTTTTTTAAAAAACAAAACTAAGAGGTATTATTAGGTTGTAGGACTCTACTTCAAAATCCCTTTTTGTTTTAGTGAAGTTAGTATTATAATAACTTAAAAATAAACTTCTCTAAAACAGAAAGGGATTTTGATCATTTTCAATAGTGGAGTCCTACAACACTAATAATACATCCTATGCACTTTTTTTTCATTTTTCTTTGTAGTTTTATTTTTTTTAAAAGAACTTTAAAACTGTTAAATAAATTTAAACTTAAATTGATTTAAACCAATCATATAAAAGTTATCCATATGATTTGCAATAAAAAAAAGAGTAAATGATGCACAAATGCACTGCAATGTCGAACGGTTGCACCCTACCAATTAAAAGAATTATATAATGACCTAAGAAAATATGGCATTTGTTAATTGTTAATAGAAGAAATATATTTGGCTTTGAATTGGCCGGTTTAGTTGTTTCCAGCGATTTATCGGTAGTATTTGTGGGTAAACTGATTAGTAACGGCGTAAAAAATTAGAAATGAGTGTAAGCTATACTGTTGACCAGTTCATTTTATTGGCGCTGAGTATAGCTTATCATAGTTAAACATTTATTTTCAGAAAAAAAAAAAAGATTGATTTCGAATTTATCACACGACATAATCACATGGATTCTCCTATACGCTATATGTGGTGATCCGGAAGGTAGCGGAGGATCCTTTTAACCAAAAATGGGTACTTTTTTGATACATCCGCATAAACACAATGAAGATCATATCAAAAACGACTTTAGTGCAACAAGAAACATGGATACTGCATTTTGTGTAATATGTTTATCAAACGATTTGTTCTGGATCCATAATGCTGCGTATTTTTCTAATTTGTTGCTTCTACTTCATGTTCTTTATATAAGGGTCTGCAATCAATTATTTTTTAACTACAAATTATAAATAATTTTAAACAAAGGGGAATATTACTATAAAATAAGTGCAGTAAACGACCATACAAGACCCACATTCCACGAATTTTAAGACCTCTAATAGACCCAGGTATAATACATGGCTGAGTTTTTATATCATATAAAGTAAGAATTTGAGATAAATATATACCCTTGCATTTATAACATATATAGTCTAAGTTTTACATTTTATATAGTTAAGAAGATCCTAGATCTGTGTCCGGGTACAATATGGGAGTCTACTATCCAGGGGGGGATAGAAGACTAACCATCCGAATAACCCGGTTATTAATGATTTTCCGAAAGCCATTTTCCCGAACATAATCACGATTAAATCAGCAAATATTAAGGCTAACACTAGCTAACTAACTTTATAGGGGATTATCTACAGCAAATCAAGTTTATGAAAGAAAGAACATAAGCCGAGTAATTTAATAATATTCGGGTAGGGAATTTTTATTTTATTTTATTTTTTTAACGGGGCAATTTTTTTAAATTTTATAGTTTATTATAAAAAGAAGTTAGAATTAAATTGAAACACAGTTTGCTAAGACTAATTACACGGTGATAAACTTGATAATAAGCCATTTATATAATATAAGCCAAGAGTTTTTATCGCACCAGTAAAATTTTTTTAAAATATTTATTATTTATACATCATCACTAGACACTAGTGTATAAATACGTAACTTGTAATACTAATAATATATATAGATAGTCCAAATAAGTCGAAATGGACAAGAAATTAAGTTATATGAAATAGTTATATGAAATACGTAGTTATATGAAATAGATATTAACTCATGTAACCATGAGTTGCAAAAAGCGATTAATTGGGAAAGGATTAGGGAAAAGACGCATGCTAAATTGTTCCCAAATTTAATATTTTCCGACCTTATATATATTAATTAATGTTAATATCGTAAGACAGCAATCGTAATGTTATGGTTTCTCAATAATGGCACCATAACACGAGAACATAATAAAAAGTAAATAGAGTTAATTACATTCCCATAGACAGTTGTGTACTGTTTTTATCTACACAAACTTTTCTTGAAAACAACCTAGCATCCCTTGTTAGACAAGCGTCCGCGCATGCATATACATCCAAATAATCCAAATAAGGAACAATAATTTCGGATATAAAAAAAACCAAAATGTCCGTAAAGGAGACCTAAAAAAAAAAAAATTAAGGCATTATAAATAATTGATGATAATTGCTGTAATAATATATTATAGAAACTAAGATTAATTGTTTTTAAAAGAATTTAATACTCAAATAAAAATTACTTTTATCGCCTTTAACGTTAAAAAAATAATAATAATGACGGGGGAATTTTTTTTACAAAGTATAGAGTTTTTGCCGCTTGTATAACCTAAACGAAGTAATGATCATCTCAAGGATAGATGTTACATAACTGATAACATTTATTTTACTATACTCAACCATAATATTTCTGTCTTTCTAAGGGCATCTATGATCAATGATGTATGCATCTAGGGAAGGTGTGCATTCTATCACGATGTCACTATATGCACGGGACTGAATGTGCAAACTGCACTTAGAGGGGGTTCTTACATATCGATAATGATAATAAAAAGTTTACACAACCCCTCAGATAAGATATTACGTAATATCCGTTGCTGCCTTAATGAGTCTGTTTAACTTAAATAAATTTGTGATTCATGATAATTGAGAGGGTTAAGGGTCAGTGTACGTACATTACTATTTGGTTATCACTATGGTAAACTTTGACGATTGAGACGTTATAGATGGTGAGATCTAAGTACAACGAGAATGGTAAAGTTGACTGATTAAAACTAGAAACAAGTTACAAAATTATCTAAATGATAAAACTTTTCTAGTTTACTTGATACAATTCGTCTTAAAATACAAGTAATTATTTTGTTTATCATATATATATATCCAATCATCACTTAATAAGTGTGTAGAATGAATATAAAATCTGGAATATTTACCACGCTATTTAATTCAATTACGCCTTTTAGATCAAGAAATCGTCAAGATCCGAGGACAAATTTAGAAACTTCAATCCGACACAAGAACAAAAATGGTATTTGTAAATAATGGCACGCATGTGCGCAAAAAAGCGGCGGTAATCAAGTCATGCATATAGTATAAAAGTTTATTGTATAAATGTTAGTTTATACTCCAGATTAAAGTAACAGAATAAAGTATAACCGAACAAATAACAAGATACATCAAACAACCACTTATTGCTGTAATTACTAGTTACTCCGGATCTTATGACTAATATAAAGAAAATTATAAATACCATTTAAATCTAATCATGTTCCACGTTTTGGAGCTTCTAGGTCGCTTTTGTGTTCTTTATCTTTTTAAGCACTATAGTTCCAAAACATAAAACCTCTCTTTCAGTTCTTCAGTACTAAAAACATATATAAAGAGAAGTTTTTTTTATAGAAAGTTATCGGTAAATATCGTTTCAAAGATTGCTAGTTCTATTTTTTTCCAAGTTTGGTAAAAAAAAATTTTTTTTTTTCCTATTATATATAGCCTCCGAATATAAAAATACCTGTAAATTTTCTCTCTATGATCACATTTTAAACAGCAACTACTTTATTGCAACATACGACAACATAAGATTACATATACAAGAACGATTAAACGATATAAACGAAATAGCTCAACCCATTTTTTAAGATATTAAAATGGAGCAGAAGGATAGGGCGTACTATTTGAGAGTAACTCAAATAGTGTTGACATTTGTAATATTTGTATTAGGTAGATATATACTTTCTTTCATTATATTTAATTACGGATATTCATACGCCCATACGCTTACCTATGTTTCTTGATCCATATTACAGAATTTGTTCAGGCTGTAGGGTTTGCTAAAAATTATCATGACTCACCGTAGGTGTTAATGTTTCATTACTGCAATATTTGTGTCTGATCTGTTTGATTCTTTGGTCCATAACTTGCACAAATGTGAATGGTAGTTTGATTAAAGAATTCATCTGTTACTACAAGTGTCTGTAATTTACTTTATTTTATTTTTTTAGAACACATTCTACAGTGATATATTACTGGATGGTTATAGTAGTGACGTTTTTATTCTTGGGTAACCTTTTATTTTAAAGTCATAAAGTTAATATTTAAACCAACATTTAATGAACATCTAATTAATATCTGATAAAATCTGCTTTATTTTTACTTAGGTCACCTTTTAATACGTTTTCAACCACGTTGGAAACAAGGTCCTTGCAAAGATGATGTATTGATAGACGGGTTGGTTTATGTTTATAATTTATCACCATAGTCGTCATCATCAACGCTTTACTTTTACTAAATTTCTTATTTATTTTTTTTTTCGTTTCAACTTTTACAGCCTTTTACTTTTTATCTGGTTGACAATGAGTATGTGTTTTCATATTTCCAATTTTGATCTTTATCCGCTCATTTATTAACTTTAAATCTATCTCTTTATCAAGTCTTTCTAAACATCCTACCTGTAATAAGGGGCAACTCTTTGTCATGTAATATGACTGACACACCTGCCCTCACCCGTTGTAACTTGTTCATTGCAAACTTTGTACTCACCTTACTTCTAACCATTACGCTCCCATTTTCGCTTCATATCTCCTTCTCTCGGTGGAATAACAAAAAAATCAATACTACTATACAAACGAGCGCTGTAAATCAACAGCAACAGCAAATGTCTCCATCACAAAGATCCCCTTCATACGTGATGCAAGAAGGTGTATTCAAAGATGGTCAACCCGTTCTAGTCTTTCACAGTAACGGTGATAAACGAAATAGTAGAAGAATGAGTTTATATCATCAACGATCTAATAGTAATGGTTCTACTCCTAATTTATTGAAAGATTCTGAGTCTACAAAAAGTGCAAAGAGCGTTGAGGCCCATGTGACTGGTGAAAATGGAAATATCAAACATGTTGCTAATTGATTGATATCAATTTGCAAGTACTATGTTTGCGAATTATCTTAATTATCTTTCATAATTAAATTCATGAAAGATCAAATGTCTTTTTCTGTTTATGCTCTAATTTTAATTCTGAATCACATTTTAGTAAATTTATTACGATAAAGCTTATGTGTTAACTATTACAATTATTTATTTATTTATTTTTTTTATTTTCTGTACAATTATCTTTTTTTTTTTGCATACAGTATACATACTAGCATTTTTGTGCTTGGCTTTTAGGACTTTTTGGTGTTCCTATACTGTTTAGCACTTCATTAGCATTTATTGCATTTATCTGCATTTATTTGGTAAACATAATGCGTACTTTAATACCTTTAAAGTTAGTCTCTCGCGTAATCGAAAAGGAAACATTAGTTTCTTAAAAAAAAAAAAAAGAAGTCATCTCTGACTTTCATTTTTTTTTGCTTGATTTGTCTCTTAAATCATATTGAATCATATTGTGATCTTTTTTTTTCTGATAAATTTAGTTAATTAGTAAATTTACAGTATATAACAGTTCTTTTATATATATCATATATATTGTTTGTTAAGCCCAAAAAGTAACGATACAAGTTAACGAAAAGGAAAGATGTACAATTATTTTTTTAATTAATTAATCTGATCTATTCTATTGTAATCTTTATAAAGGTTAATATATGGGGTAAGTTTAAATTACTCCAACTTTTATTCACTCGGAAGATCATAACATATGATGGGATTTTATTAAAAACGGATTTGGATCTAATTTTCAGGGTTAACTTTAAATTTTGTTTAATCATATTGATGTTGATATACTGTACACTTGCTATATACATTTATGCTTATTGTTATTGTAATGTAAAAAAAAAATCTTTATTTTCAAGTCAAATCACGTGTTTTTCATCTACATTTTTGCAAAATTTAAAGATACGTATTTATTTATTGATCAAAATTACACATATATCTTTTAAATTATAGATTTTTTGAGTAATAATAAAAGATTTTTTAATTATCTAGTAATATTATTTTTTTTAATAGTTCTGTTTTTGTTTATTAAAATTATTACTTATTTTGTAGACTTTTTCAGACAAATTTGTCTGAAAAATTATTTAAAATGTTTAAATAAACAATATAACATATTGATCAAAACATATACAGTCTTCTTGTTAATCTTTTTTTTCAAGAATAGACAAAACAAAAATAACAGTAACAAACAAAAATTAGCTTAGAAAACCTGTTCTAATATTTTAAGAAAAAAAAAAAAAACAAGAAATAACATAAAGTTTGTTAAAAGCATTTTTTTTTTTAACTAAAATATAAAGTACAAAAGAATAATTTAATCATTTTTCTTGAACCTTTAAAATTTTTGAAAATTTGTTGAAGTTCTTGTATAGTTGATCAAATTAAATTGCATAAAACATATAAACAACAAAGTAAACAAATAATAGATTATATTTCTTTTTGAATAAGTAAACAGGAAGTTAAGATAAGCAACAGTCATATAATAAAATAATAACAAGTAAAAGCATGTGTTCTTTTTTTAGAAGAGTCTAGAACAGTATTATTAGTAAATATTAGTAGATTATCAATTTAAGAAATAAGTAAGTTAAGGTGTAATAACTTAGTAAAATGATCAAATTGTCAACTTTCAAGTGGCAGGTCTAAAGTTCAAATTCTATAAATGATAAATTTTGAAAAATAAGTCTGTGTTATAGTAACTGTCTCTATCAATCAGTTGGATTAGTATATCTGTAATTTTTAATTACACTATCTTGAATAGAAGCTTAAGGTATCTATGCAAAATGTAATATTACACATATATAAAAGAATATTAATAATCAGTATTACATAAGACTTCAGTACAAACTCATAATAAGATCATCAAATATGAAAAGTGAAAGAACTGAAGAATCAAAAACTCACTTAGAAATTCCAAATAAGAAGGTAGCACAAAACTTTTGATAATACTGTTAGACTGATGAAAGCTCATAAAACACTTCTAAAGGAATAATTAGATAAACTGAATAACAAAATATATAAAGAAGCACATAATCAATCAGACTGTCAGAATTACCAAAAAAAAAGAATACTAAGGTATACTATACCAGACTATCTAGATTAAAAGTTTGAAAAGTCCTGTCAGTTCTGAGTAGTAATTAGTAAGAAACAATGAAAAAGATGTAAAAAAGATAAATACTAGAGTTTTGGATAAATCTTACAAGGATATAAGTAGTTTAATAATTAGTTCTAATTGCAAATGATAGTTTAGATTAAAGTAATACTAGATTAGCTATAAGTATGAGATATAAAATACACTGGTAGATTTAATACAAAGTTAAATATGACTTAGTAACTATGACATATCTTTATCAGTTTATCAAAATTGTTAGTAGAGTATAGTAGATATAGAATTAGAATGTTTAAATAGAGGATCTACAGGTGGGTCTTAGATATAATAATTAGTGTAGAACCTTCAAGTGAACTACTTAAATTAGATGACTAAAGTTATATAAGTGACTAGTTGTATATTCTTTCTATAATCACCTTTGTGCTATTATGTCAACAGATGCTAGTTAACTGATATTACTAATAAAATCCTGGGTTGCATATATTCATCTTAATATTTAAAAAAAAAAATAAGTAAATTATACAAATAGAAGTTATTTAAAGTTATTTGAAAACTAGAAGAACAAAATCTTAGTTACTTAAATAGTAATATATTGATTAAAGTATTTAAAGATATAATATCATACAGTTTAATAATATAAAACAAATAATATACAGTATAGTAATTAGTAATTTAAATGAAATTATAAAATAAGATCTATTAATTTATTATTAGATACTTAAAGTATTAAAGTAAATTGAAACTAAAAAATTTAAAAAAACATTAATTGAGAAATAAGTAATGAAAACAAGAATAATATAATATAATTTAGGTTTAATTAACTATATAACTAATATAAGCAGTTTTTAAATATTAAAAAAAAACCTCTAAATATCTAAGATATTCAAGAATAGACTTATTTTCAGAAATAACAAGTAATCTGCAGTTGAGAAACCACCTAGTGATAGATACAAGTTAGAGCCTAATTTGAAATAACTAAAGTTATAAAATATAATATAAAACTAAAAGTTTAATAATAAGAAATACTATATGAACTTATAGTGATAGCCAGTTCTATATAGAGTCTGACAAAGCTTTCTGATTTTAGCAAAAGTTTGTATAATGAATTGTTTCTGAAAAGTTTAAATACAGACTAGAGAAGTAATCTTAAATATTAAGAATATTAGTTTAAAAAAATATAAAAGACATAAAGAAAAATCTTGATAAGACTATCAAAAAGAAAAAAAAAATAAAAGTAAAAAAAAGAAAATATAAATATTAAGATTTAACAAACAGATTTAAAAAAATAAAAACAAAAAAAACAATAAATAAAATAAAAGAAAATTATTAAAATATTATTAATAATATAAAAGATCTTATTATTATAACAGAAATCAGTATACCAAATTAAAACTATCTATCAACAAATTTAAAAAAATCAATTAAAATTAAAAAAATCAAAAACAAAAGTAAAGCAACTAAGCCAAAATATTGTTAAACTTTATATTAAGGAAAAGAATATTAAAAATTAAAAAATAAATTCAAAAGAACAGATTATTTTAGCACTATTAGAAGATAGTTTTTAATTATTACAGAATAAAATATACAATAAAAATGACTTATTTAAAACAAAAATTTTAATATTCAAAATTCTAAATAAAACAAAAAAATATTGAATTAACTATATAAAGTAGATGCATAAAGATAACAAATACATTAAAGTAATAAAAAAAATTTTTAAAATAGAAATAATTAAATTATAATAAACTTTTATGAGTATAACAAAAGAACAACAAATAAGAAAATCATAAGAAAAAAAAAATAGTAAAAACTTATTTTAGTAAAGTCAAAAAACAAAAAAAATATTTTTAATTATAGTATAAATAAAAAAAACAAACCAAAAATTTAAAAAACAGTTTAGACTATTAAATTGCATTAAACTACAAAAAAAAAAAATAAACTTTATATTATAAAAAGAACAAATTGAACCAACTTGTATCAAAAAAAAATAAAAATAAAAATATAAATTAACTAAATATTTAAAATTTATCAGTAAATATTAGACATAAAAAAAATTGAGTTTATGTATAAAAGTATTGAAAAAACCTTTAGAATCAATAGCATAGCAGTTATGCTCTAAGATCACAAATTATAAGGCTGTCAGTTCAAATCCTAATAATGGTAATTGTAAAGATGTATTTCTAAAAATAGAGAACTGCAACACTGCAGCATCAGAAATCTAGAATATTTAAAGACAAATTTATTTTCAAAAATAACAAATAATCTGCAATTAGGAAGCTATATAGTAACAGATATAAGTTAAAGCCTAATTTAGAATAACTGAAGTTATAAGATGTAATGTAAGGCTGAAGTCTGACAATAAGAGATACTACATAAACTCATGATGACAGCTGGTTTTATATAGAGCTTGACAAAGCCTTTTAATCCTAGCAAGGGTCAGTATAACAATTGCTTTTAGAAAGTTTAAAAGTACAAATCGGTAAAAGTTAAGGTTCAGTGACCCTTAAACATTAAGAATATTAGTTCAGAAAAAGTATAAAAGACAAAAAAAGATCTTAGCAAGATTGTCAAAAAGTAAAAAAAAAAAAACTATTGAAAATACAAGAGTTGTAAAAATTAAAAGATTATAATTTAAAACATTAGTAATAATTAAAACAATAAATAAAAACTATATAAAAACTTCTTAATTATTTCTATTAAACAACAACAAATTGGTACAAATAATATAAGATAAAAAAAATTATAAGCAAAAAAATAAATATAGTTGTTATATAGCAAAATTTTTAAAAATATTCAAAAAAGCTTCTAAAGTACTTTAGTTACAAAGCTTAAAAACTAAAAAAGCAAAATTGGCATTTATGTTAACAAACAGAAT